AAAAAAAAAAAAAAAAAGTCAATACATAGAAACAGAGACTAGAACTGTGGCTGGGAGAGTGGGAGAGATGTAGGTCAAGGGAACAAAGTTGGAGTAATATAGGATGAATAAATCTAGAGATCTAAAGTATAGCATGAGGGCTGGGTGCGGTAGCTAAAGCTTGTAATCAATCCCAGCACTGTGGGAGGCCGAGGCAGGGAGATTACCTGAGGACGGGAGTTCGAGAGCAGCCTGGCCAACTCGGCAAAACCCTGGCTCATTAAAAATACAAAAAATTAGCTAGGTGTGGCAGTGCACACCCAGCTACTCCGATGGCTGAGGCATGAGAATCACCTGAACCCAAGGTGGAGGTTACCATCAACAGAGATCATACCACTGCATCCCAGCCTGGGTGACAGAGCAAGACTTTGTCTCAAAAAAATAAATAAAGTATACTATGAGCACTATAACTAATGTTAGCATATTATATACTAGAAATTTTCTAAAAGTAGATTTTAAATGTTCCTAGCACACAAAAAAAGTAACTATGTGAGATGATGGGTATGTTAAATTGCTTACCTATAGCAATCATTTCACTATGAATATCAAAACATCATGTGTACACATTAAATTTATACAATAAATAAGTAAGTAAGCCTGAAATAAACAAATAAAACTAGAGAGAAGAGACTGGTGAACAATATGTTACCATCCTGTGACTTTTTGTGGGCTTATTTTGCAATCAGTAAAATGAAGTATTATTTGAAGTTTTTATAGCAGCAAAGGTGATTGTACTTTAAGACTATCCCAGGCCTTTACTGGTTCCATTCACAATCAGCACTCAGCATCTATTTTCCTGGAAACATCAGTTCATTAGAAAGTCACTTAAAAAAAAAAAGAAAAATTATATATATATATATATATATATTTTTTGAAACAGAGTCTCACTCTTGTCGCCCAGGCTGAGTATAATGGAGCGTCTCAGCTCACTGCAACCTCTACCTCCTGGGTTCAAGTGATTCTCCTGCTTCAGCCTCCCGAATAGCTGGGATTACAGGCACCTTTCACCATGCTCAGTTAATTTTTGTTTTTTTTAGTAGAGATGGGGTTTCACCATGTTGGCCAGGCTGGTCTTGAACTTCTGACCTCAGGTGATCCACCCACCTCAGCCTCCCAAAGTGCTGGGATTACAGGTGTGAGCCACCACGCCCGGCCAAATAATAATTTTTTTAAAAGAAAATGAACAGAATATAAACTCGTCAAGTTGGAATTAATGTGTTCCAACCACCTGGAGCAGTGCTCTTTCTGGGAATGAACCTAAATTTCCAGTCTTGCTGGGCAGCACTTGTTACACTAAAAGATGGCAATTTCTTCATGTTGTCTTAGTTTTTTGGCACCACTAAAATCTAATAGGATTGCCCTAACCCAGAACTTTAAACTCGCAGTTTAATTTTCATTACAACTACCCTCCTTCCTTATGGAACAATGACAGGTTTCAAGATACTGCCATTACTGGTCCAAATAACTACCATACCATGGGTATCAATATGTACTGTATACACTGTTCAAAATAACTATGTACAATGTGAACCAATAACTACCATATCACATATTCTAGAGGAAGAAATATTATTAGAATTTCAGTTATCCTTTGTCAAACTCCACAAGTATTTTAGAGCACAGGTACTATGAATCAAT